CTAGCAGCCAAGCAGAAGTGACACCGTGTCCCTTGGAGGCACCTAAAAAACTTACCCTAACTTTTTCCTAATTCTATCCCAAGTGTGTATACTAGGTAGAAAATGCATACCCAAGGTGCCTTCTCTTCCACCACCACCCTGGTATTTTCTGTGTAAGTCACCTCCTCATATCCTTGTCTTCCCATCTGGATTCTCATCAGTACCTTCACCCACTATTATTTGTTTTCCCCATTGCATCATCATTATCCTCAGCATTACCAACCAACCCATCATCAACCCTATGGTCAACCTATGGTCAACATTCCCATTCCTATAGACATTGCAGTCAGGTTCACTACGCTATCTCAAACACACACACACACACACACACACACACACACACACACACACAGAGAGAGAGAGAGAGAGACAGAGACAGAGACAGAGACACAGAGAGACAGAGACAGAGAGACAGAGACAGAGACAGAGATACCATTAATGTATAGCTGAAACCTGTGAAGGAAAAGTAATGTCCCAAAGACTTGGAAGGAAAACCTTATTTTGGAAGGACAAAGAAAGTATTTTTGAATAGCTATTCTATAATTCCAACAAGGTGCAAGAAGCAAAATACATTATTATAATAAAATGATAGACTGAGACAAATAGACATGGAGCACAATAAAATAAAGCAAAAGGCAGACGTGGTGACATGGCTGTAATCCCAGAAGTCACAGGGTGGGGTGAGAGGATAGGGAGATCAAGGTCATCCTTGGCTACGTAATGAATTTGAAGCCAGCCTGAGTTACATTGGACCCTGTATTTAAATACTGAATCAAAATAAACAATTTTGTACTGGAAACACTAAGTGGGAAAATTGACCTTTTACAAAAATTGAAATAATCTTCAAGATAAAGGGAAAAAGGTAGTTATATTAACTATAGAATAGAGGATCGATTATATAGATCCATCCTGTAAGTATTAAAGAACTTCTAAGGAAGGAAACAGCAAATGGAAGATCTGATCTCTGGGGAGGTGAGAGAAGAAAGAATCTCATAAAATAAAAGGTTTCTGTACAGCACAGGAAACTGAAGCCCTAGAATGAGAGCCACCCTTGCCAGTCATTCACCAACAGAGGATCAGGGTTCTGAACATACAAAGAACCCAAAACACTAAGCAGTAGGAAAACAAACAACCCAATTAAAACTGGGTTATGGAACTGAATGGAAAATTCTCAAAAAGAAGACATGCAAATGCCTAGGAAATGCTTTAAAAACTGTTCAACATCTTTAGCTACCCAGGTCATGTGGATTAAAACTACTTTCAGATTCTGTCTCATCCCGGTCAGAATGGCCATGGTTAGGAATGTAAGTGACAACAGGCTGGTGTGGAAAGGAGAAAGGGGACTTTTTAGACACTGTTGGTAGGGGTGTGAACGAGTGCAGCCTCTTTGGAAATCAGTGTGGTGGTTTAAAAGAAATAGAATTGCCATATGACCCTTCCACACCACCCCTGGACATATAGCACTAGCCAACAGACTTTACATCCTACTACATGTTCTTTATGCTCTATTCACAATTAACAGATGAATGGCTAAGAAAAATACGGTACATACACACAGTGGAATATGACTCTGCTGTAAAGAAAAAGGAAATCATAAAACACACAGGTAAATGTGTGGAACTGGAAAAATTCAGAATAAGTGAGGTAATTCAGGTCCAGAAAGACACACAAGTTATGTTTTCTCTCACAGTGGCACAGCCTTTGGGGAAAGTCTTGTTGACATTGTTCTAGACTGCAAAGCAATTTCAAGGTCAGCCTGGGATACCTGAAACTGTATCTCAAAAAATAAAAAATAAAAATAAAAAGTTAAGGAAAAGAAAGAAAAGCATGCCAACCTATACAAATGAGTAAAAGAGAATATAAATCTTTTCATCAGTGTGAGGTACCAAGGTCCATCTTGGCAGATATACAGAACCTGTTCAATAGCCTCATCACTCCTGAGGAGCAGCAAATGTCTTTGGAGGAATAAAACAAGTTACATTAGAAATCATCTAACAAAACAAAGCTGAAAATGGAGCCCAGCTGCAATGTGAATACAGGGGAGAGATCCAGACCTGAGCAAAATGAAGACTGCATTTTGGTTGGGCTTCAAGGGGGTCCCCAAACAGGCTGGAGAGATGGTTCAGCTTTAAAAGCACTTACTGCTCTTGCAGAGGACCTGGGTTAGGTTCTCAGCACCCACATGGCAGCTCAAAACCATCTGTAACTCCATTTCAGGGGATCTGACACCATCTTCCTAACCTCCAGGGGCACCAGACATGCACACATACATGCCAAAACAGTCATACATGAAATAAATTTTTAAATTGTTTTAAAAGAAATCATGGAAACAAGAGGCCAGAGCCTCAGATCAGACCATCTACATGGACATTAAAGAAGCACCAAGAACAAAACAGAGACAGTGTTACAATTTTCATAGAAAGAGGATCCAGCAGACCTGAACAGGACAGGACAGGATAGGACAGGACAGGACAGGACAAGGCAAATGGTGGTGGAGACCAGAAAATCAAGAGGTTTTCCACTAGGAAGAGAGCAATTGAAGTTGGAAGTTCCATGTCAAACTGCAAACCACACCCTCCCGCCCAGTGAAGTAGCTCTCTGAAGCCCTGCTGGAGGTACTAACAAATGCAAAGGGGGCAGTGTCCCCCTTTAGGGATATTCAGGCTGTAGTTTAATCCAGGAGAGGCAAGGACAGCCAGTGAGGACACAGAGCGAAGACTTCTTATCATGCGGCTGGACAGCTTAAGCTCACAACTGAAATTTTATGAAGGTGGGAAGAGGAAAGAATGGGGCCAGGCCAAGGAGGGAAAGTAAGAGTACTGTAGAGGTGAGCTCAGAAGACCAACAGAGCTCGGGGCTGGATGGTGATGGAAGAAATCAGGCATGGGAAGTAAAGTGAGTTACCATGTGAGACAAATGAGTGTGGGAACGCCCTTGATCATCTACATGAAATAGACGCCTGGATCAGTGAGAAAGCAGTTAGTCACTACATCCTACTAGCTTGCTCCTCGGGTTTGAGTCCAGCTAAGAGTGAGGCAACATACAATCCCAGTGCCAGAGAGTCTTGGAAACAGGGAGGTTCCCAAGAGATATGCATGGTACCCCAGAGAAGTGGAATGAGGCAAGATCTCCTGAGCAGATTGGGAATATCGGGGGAGGGGAGAGGGAACAAGGAAAAGGAGAGGGGGAGAAGAAGGCATGGGGGAACAAGAAGGTTGAGTCAAGGTAAGAATAGAGAGTAGGATGAGAGATACCATAATAGATGGAGTCATTATAGGTTTGAGGAGAGAGCTGACACTAGTGAGATTTCCAGAGATCTACAAGGATAACACCAACTGGCAAACTAAGCAATAGCAGAGAGACTACATTAATAGCCCCTCCCTGATGATACTGTTGATGACTACATTATATGTCATCCTAGAACCTTCATCCAGTGACTGATGGAAGCAGAGGCAGACACCCACAGCTAAACACTGAACTGAACTCCTGGAACCTAGTGACAGAGATGGAGGAGTGATGAGCAAAGGGGTCAAGACTGGGTTGGTGAAACCCACACAAACAGCTGACCGGACAAGGGGGAGCTCTTGAACCCCAGACTGATGGCTGAGAGGCCAACAGGGGACTGATGCAGACTCCATGAATGCAGTGTCAGTGAGGAGGCCTCAGAAATCTCTGGGGACTTGGGTAGTAGATCAGTATTTATCATGGTGTACGAATGAACTTTAGGAGCCCATTCCACATGGAGAGATGTTCTCTCAGCCCGGACACATGAGGGAGGGCCTAGGTCCTGCCCTGGATGAAATGACAGACTTTGGAGATCCCCCAAGGAGGGCCTCACCCTCCCTGGGGAATGGTGTGGGGATTGGGTGGAGGGCTAGAGGGGGGCTGGTGGAGGAACAAGGGAGGAGGGGAGGGAGAGGGAGCTGGGATTGACATGTGAAGCATGCATGTTTCTAATTTAAATAAAAACATATATTGAGAAAAAAATATTTTAATGAAAAAAAAAGAATTACAGTTGCTCTTCATCCTTTCCACTACTTGGTATTATCTGTTTAATTTCAGCTCTAACATGTGTATGGCAAAACACCATCACTTTACTTTATATCCCTCTAGCAAACTGACCGCATTTCAAATATTTATTTATACCTCTTTCAGTGTGTTTTTGTGATGTGTACATTTCCTTGGATGAAAGATCTGTTTAAATATTTTGCTCTTCTATTAATGGGTTGTTTTTCTTACTGAATCTTGAGACCTCTTTGTATGGTCTATGGATGAGTTCTTCATTAAACTTAAGATTTAGAAGTATTTAAAAAAAAAAACCCAGGCGTGGTGGCACACGCCTTTAATCTCAGCACTAAGGAGGCAGAGGCAGGCGGATCTCTGTGAGTTCGAGACCAGCCTGGTCTACAAGAGCTAGTTCCAGGACAGCCTCCAAAACCGCAAAGAAACCCTGTCTCGGGGGAAAAAAAAAAAGTGATCTGGAGATGTGACTCAGCATTACCTACTTGCACTCAGCTCTATTTCTTCACTCTCACACAGTCTAGGACACTCTGCTTAGAGAATGGTGCCGCCCATAATGGGATGCGCCTTCCCACATCAATGAAGACACATCCCACAAGGATGCCCCCGGGCCACTCAGTACAGACTGAGCTGGGACTCTTCCCAAATGACTCTAGGTTGTATGAAGTTGACGATATACGCTTTTCCCATTTTCCCAGTTCTACCATCAGGATTGCTGCCGCCTGCCTCAAGCCCTTGGCTCTGACCTATCCCTTTGGCCAGGCTTCACCTACTGAGAGAACAAGAAGGGACTAAGGTTACAGCCTCATTTCCTCTCTTTGCTACTTCACATGGTCACTGAGACCTCGGCAATGGGGTCAACTCCCTGCAGAATCTACTCACTGCACCAAAAGGGTGGGGCGTAAGCTCATAATGGATGATGCAACAAGTGAGATGTGAAATAAATGCAGGAGCAACCTGACACTTGCCCAGACCCTGGCTGTGCCACAGTGAGAAGCTGCAGGGGTCTTATGAAAAGATGACCAGAAAGCTTCCTCGCTCCTTCTCATCTCAGCTTCAGCCTCATTCGTCACCCAGTTCTCCTCCCTCTCACCATCGGCAAGGCCACCTTCCTATCCTGACCACTCCATCTGCCAGCCTTCAGCCTGCTCTCCAAGACCCACCCCTCTCTGTTTTCCGCCCTACTTCCTTCCCTCCTCTGACAGCCCCTTCCTACTACCCTTCCTTGAGGATCTCTATGCCCAGCACCTCCAGACTTTCAGCTAAGCGCACTGTTCGTCTTCCTCCCCTCTCCTGTTACTCCTCCATCCTCGTCCCAACTCCTCCCAACAGCCCTGCTGAATAATATAGTTCCCTTCTCTCTAGTCCCCACCTTCTTACCCACCCACCCACCCCCAGCCACATCAGGAGAGCCACCAGTTCCATCTTGGGGAGGAGCTTCCCTACCGCTGTTGCCATTCAGAAGTACCAAGACTGTGAGCACCAGGAAGCTTGACCTTGTAATCAAGGAATACAGGACCATGGAGCATATCTGGAGCACATCCCAGGTTAGTCAGATACCTCTGTGGCCTGACTCTGGTTCTTAACTAATGTGTTTCTAACACGCTGTTTCTCAACCTGTGGGCCATATCCCCTTTGGAGGCTGCATATCAGATATCCTGCATGTCAGATATATTCTGATCCATAACAGTAACAAAATTACAGTTATGAAGTAGCAGTGAAATTTTATGGTTGGGAGGGACCGTATTAAAGGACCACAGCATTAGGGAGGTTGAGAAACTCTGCTCTAAGGGTTTCCTTTTCCCAGAAGTCTGTTCATTCCTTGCATGTGCTCAGCAGCCTTCAATCAACTGCATTTCCAGCAAGCCTGAGCTATACCCAGAGTTCACATAGCAGGAGCAGAGTCAGGGGTAGAGCAAAGACAGGAAGAGAAATACTGATTTGCCCTGGACGAAAGGGTTCATGCTCCGGCGGAGACAGATGGGGACTCCAGTTTTGTTGTTCTATTTTGCTCTGATTCCTCTCAGAGTCCATGAGTCAATTTTTCCTCATCCTAAACTTCAGAATCAGAGACCACCTGCCCTCAGGAAATAACTCCTCCCACAAAGGGAAGGGCCTCCACTGTGCTTTCATCAAGATTCTGAGGGTATGAGTGTGAGAGTCAGTGAGGAGGCCTGGGCAACCTATGGGGCCCTGGGCAGTAGATCAGTATTTATCCCTGGCATACAAACGTTGGACTTCGTGTGTCCAAAACACAAAAAGGGATGCTCTCTCAGCCTGGATTCTTAGGGGAATGCCTAGATCCTGCCCTGAGCGAAAGGACAGATTCTGGATATCCCCTATGTGGAAGGAAGTGGGGATAGGGTGTGAGGCGGGGGGGGGATGCAGGAGGAGGGGAGGGAGAGGGAACTGGGATTGACATGTGAAGCAAGCTATTTAAAATTAAAGTAATAAAAAAAAAAAAAAGATTCTGAGGGTAGAGCCTACCAGCTGCCTCTGTCCCCAGGAGGAAAAGATGGTGAAGTCTAGCCTGCAGATACTGTATCCTATCTACCGGGTCTCACATAGATATCCCAGGCTCCCCTTGAACTCACTACGTGACCAAGAATGACCTTGACGTTCTGACCATGCACTTCACCTCCCACATGCTAGGACTGCAGGCATGTACCACAATTCCCTGGCAGATGATCCTGAATGAGAACCCCAACAATCCCAGCAGATCTTAGCAAAACTTGAATAACTCAATTATAATCTACACTTAAAATACAAAGTATTAAAAAATACTAAAAATTCTCAGCCGGGCGTTGGTGGCGCACGCCTTTAATCCCAGCACTCGGGAGATAGAGGCAGGTGGATCTCTGTGAGTTCGAGGTCAGCCTGGTCTACAGAGTGAGTTCCAGGACAACCTCCAAAACAATACAGAAAAACCCTGTCTCGAAAAACCAAAAGAAAAGTCAAAATTCTCAAAAAGGAAATTCTTCCCTACCAGAGGCAACAGATAATCCCCCAAATTGTAATTTAAATACTCTAATAATGATGTCACATTGGTGCAAACAGACAAGCAGACACAACAGGGTACCAGAAGTGGACACACATGTAGGCATATATTTTCCTTCTTAGGTTAATACCTGGATGATAGTTTGTTCCTAATACCAGTGTTACTTTATCTTACATTTTCTAGTTGATTTGCTCATTAGCTGGGTCTTGGCATCTGATCCTCACAACTAAGCAGGAAACCAGAGATTTCTAGAGAAATCAGTCCACTGAGGACCCTGGGTGTCACCACTCCAGTATTTCTCAGTGTCCAGACAAGAATGAATCCTAAAGACTAAAGGGCTGTGAAATGCACTGGTAACCTGGAGGGGCCCCAGGTGAGCAGAACCAGTCTGTAGTGCTACGAGGCTCTTAACTAGCTGAGTCTCTATCAGGGCACCTGGGAAACAGAAATGTAGAGTTGGGGGAGACAGTTCTTCAGAGCCTCCGACCACTTTCTTTCTCTTTTAAATTTTGGTGGGTTTTTCTTTTTAAGATTTATTTTACACATGTGAGTGTTTTGACTGCAATGTGAGTACGCACACCACGTGTGTGGGTGGTGCTCACAGAGGTAAGATGATGTTATCTGTTCCTCTGGAATTGGAGTCACAGACAGTTGTGAGCTGCCATGTGGGCACTGGGAACTGAGCCCAGTTCTACAAGAGCACACGCTCTCAAACACAGAGCCATCACTCCAGTTCTGACCACTCTTTTTCCCTGAGCTGCCCCACAGCACAGCATAAGCTGTCTGGAGCAGTTCTGGCCAAGTGGACCCAAGCTGAAGAAACTCAGCTCTTGGAGCACAAACATTCTTGCTAGATGTCGCCAAACTAACAAAGTGGCTTCTTTAAAAAATGAAAGCATATCAAAAAAAAAAAAAAAAAAGGAAGCTCTGACTTTCTGACTTTGATGGTGACAATGTTCTATATCTTTGCTGTAGTCATTAACCACACATGACTAGTGAACACTTAGAATGTGGCTTGTGTGACTAAGAACTGGAGTGTGTGTGCGTGCGTGTGTGTGTGTGTGTGTGTGTGTGTGTGTGTGTAAATTTACATATGGGAGTACATGCATGTGTGCACTCATTTGAAGACCACAAAACATCTCGAGTCTCATTTCTCAGACTCTGTTCACCTTTTGAGGAGGAACAGGATCTCTCACTGACTTGGAGCTCTCCAAGTAGGCTAGACTGGCTGGCTAGCAAACCCCAGGGGTATGACCATCCCTGTCTGCAAGCACTGGGATTACAAGTGTGTATCCATGCCTGACCCTTAAAATGTGGGTTCTGGTGGTCAAACTCAGATCCTCATGCTTGCAAAACAAGCACTTTGCCTGCTGAGCTATCTCCCCAGACATAGACACTGCATTTTTTAAAATTTTTTTAAATTTTGAAATGCAAGTAGTCACATGCCTAGCAATCACTGTGATGAGCAGTGCTGTTCTAGACTTCTGTGTCCTGGAAGGCTTACTTAACTTTGTTCCCTAACACCCAGCATTATAATCAGTCATGTGCCACTCAATAGGTGCTGAATGGATATCTTGTCTGTCTTCCAGCAGGCAGGGAGTTAAGTTCTACTCAGAGACACGATGCTAAGTTTCTCTAGTTCTCACAATTGCCAGAAAGCCCAGGATCTGGCCTTCTCATCCATTGCACAGCTCGTCTTGGGTACAGGCTCTGAGATACAGCTACTGCATGGAGATATGATGATAAAAGGCTAAGTACAGATGTTTCAACAGAAGAGTAAGTGACTTAGAAGGATTATTGCCAGTATTATATATGGCAGGGGTGAACACCAAAATCCGAAGTACAGCCTAGTTGAAAGAGTTCAGCTTTTGATATGCTGAGTGGAATTTGGTCAATAGTCAAATCTTTATAACAAGAAGGGCTGTGAAGGAAAAAAGTTGTATATGGGATGAAGGTGGATAGAAATCCAAGGTAAGCAATCAGGCCACTTAGAAAATAGTAGAGTGCAGGTAATTTAACACAGCATCTCTCCTTTCTCTTCAAGAGTAAAGGCCTGGCTCCCAGGGTGGAGAGAACACACATGGACGGGTCCCATCCTTCACTTTCCTAGACACCTGTGGCAAGCTCACCTTACGTGACAGGAAGGACCAGTGTGGCTGGTTGCTGGGACAATCTTGCTTCAGACCCTTTTGGATTCTGCAGATATAGACTGTTTGTCCAAATTGGAAGAAGTCTGGAGTATTCCGTGCCTGCTCATTATAAGCCTGGGAACAATGTCATCAAGTGACACTGGTGACAATCTAGGAAATTATACTCCCCAAAACATTACATCCAGGTGCTGTAGACTTGTGAGATGTGTCTCAGCTGGTTTCAAGATGATGGCTGGGGACAGAAGAAGCTCGAGGAGCCTCGGCAAGGGTGGGAAACCCTCACCTTGTTCAAGAAGAGTACCCCCAACTTCAATATGGGGACACGCTGAGTAGGCATCTCAGCATATTTCCTTATATTTGCTTAAAATATGTTGGTTATGTTTATTGCAACGATATCATTTCTGTCAAATTTGTGTCAGCTTTCTGTGTGAGTGACTCCTTCAACAATTTCATTCAACACACATGTCAAATCCTGCGTGAGTGCTGGATGTTGTCCTAGGATCAAGACACAGCCCCTCACCTCCTGGAGCTTGCTTTCTAGTGGATACCAGGAGTGGGGGAGGGTATCAACAGGTGTGGCTTTCAATGTAGACAGTTGGAAGAAGAGTGGGACAGTGTGGTCCTGATGCCCAGAAATGCCTTGGTTCCATGAAATACTGAGCAAATTCCTGCCACTCTTAAGGACCTAGAAGTAACAGCGACCTTTTAGGATGGAGATACTAGATTTTCAGGGCACCAAAAAACTACCATCTTTTCAGTATTAGCAAACAATTTTGTATGGAAAATATGACGTCCTCTTGCCTGTCTGTCTCCTTTTCCAAGAGAAAAACAATCATCTATAAGACAGCACAGTAATTCAAATAATTTTGTCCTCACTGTAAAACAAAAAAAAAATCTAGAAAATCCTGATGATATCCACCCCCCAGGACAAATGCATCAAAAATTAAAGCACCACAGCATTTTCAGATTCTTAAGAGAAAGGTGAAAATTATTGAACTGTGAAATATACTTGTCATTGTTGCTTTTCCTTTGACTTGATTGCAAAGAAGAAACAATCAAGGATCTCTTCCAGAAACCACAAAAAAAAAAAAAAATGCTTCTGAAAACTTTCCTCACCTTGACATTAATACTGTCGGCTCAACAGGATCTAAACTCATTTGGTATGCCTGTGGGGTTTTCTCAATTAGACTAGCCTCTGCACATACCTGTGAGAGACTGTCTAGGTTAGTTTCTGGGCATGTCTGTGAATGGTATCTTAAGTAGATAGTGGTGGGAAGATGCACTCTGATATAGGTAGCATCAGTCCCCAGAGGAAAAGCCACTGCTTCTGAGATTCCCACTGGAATAACTAGGTGCTATATTACTCCTAGGCCTCATCAATATTGTCAACTGTTAATCTCAGGTCATACCTATGTGACCAGAAATTTTAGCTGAAATGAGCTCACTAAAACTAGTATGTAAAACCAGAATTGTCTCATGTGTGTACCAATATGCCATAAGAAAACATGAGGTTTCTGCTTAGTAATACATGTGGTTCTAAGTTTCAGTTTTTTAAAAAGAAATAAAGCATGGTTTCAGAACCAGAGAGGACAAGCTGGTCACTGCCCTCTCAACACAGAGTAAAGAACAGCACCCGAAGGGGTCCTAGAACCCAACACCCTGCATCTGCAGAGCTTTCAGACCAAGGCTCATCAGACATCAGGGAAAGCTGCCTACTGTGTCTGGGCACCATCTGTCTCCCAAGGGCTCATGTGCTGAAGGCACATGGTTCTCTAGGTAGTGGGATGATGTGGTAGCTAGTCCTTTAAGAGTCCTAGAGTAAGATGTTAGGTCCTAGGGGCATTGACATTGGCGGAACTGGTGAAACTGTCACAAAGTTCTTACAAAAGCCAGTTAAAGAACAATGCTGGCCCCACAACCTCTGTCTACCTGTAAAACCTCGCATCATCACAATGCCATCAGGCCATGTTGCCCTCATCAGTTTGAGCAGATGGAACTGCTGTACCATCTTGACCTACAGCCTCCAAAACTGAGCCAAACAAACTCCTTCTTTATGATGGACTTCAACCCAGATACTTTGATAGAGTAACAAGGATTCCAACCTAATTGTGAGGTAGGCAATGTTTTTCATGTGAAAGGGAAACTGGGTGGAGAGAACTATAAAGACAGTAAATGCCAAGTGTCCACAGCACAGTGGGACTGACTAAAACAGTCATGCTATTTTAGGGAGCTAGTAGGAAGCAGTAAGAATGAGATAGAAACCTTAACTACCCTGACTTCATCAACACACTGTACATACTTTCACTATAGCCATAAATGTTAAAGGAACAAATTTGAGCGGGATGGTACATGCCTGTGATCCCAACGCTTGGGAGGTAAAGGGAGGAAGATCAGTTTGAGGCCAGCATGGGCTGCATGAGACAGTCTCAAAACAAAAAATAACCTGGCATACAAATGGCCTTTGGGTGCCCATCCCACAATGAGGGATGCTCTCTCAGCCTGGACTCAGCAGGAGGGCCTAGGCCTTTCTCTGAATGAAAGATCCTCCATGGAGGGCCTCTCCCTCCCTGGAGATTGGAGTGGGGATTAGGTTGGAGGCTGAGGAGGAGGGCGGGGAAGGATGGGAGAGAGCTGGGATTGACATGTGAAGCAAGCTTCTTTCTAATTTAAAAAAACAAAATAAACTGGAGCCAAATGTACAAGGAAAGAGTTCAAACAAGATGAAGGAGATAGAAAAAAATATTCTAACTTACCTTTCCCGTCCTGGAAACATCTGGACATTGCGACTGTGGAAAGCAGAAGTCCCAGGGATAAAACAGCAGGGGCAGAAGGTTACCAGACAGAAGTTTCTAAATGAAATAGCCTGAATCTGCCAAACATGTTGGTGCATGCCTTTAATCCTAGCACTTAGCAGGCAGAGGCAGCCTGGTTTACAGAGTGAGTTCCAGTATAGCCAGGGCTATGAAGAGAGACCCTTTCTCAAAAAAAACAAAAATAATAGCAAAGTCCAAATCTTTCCAAGCCTAATCAAAGAATAAACATAGGCTTCCCATGTCAGAGGAGCTCTGGGAGGGAAGAATGGAAGAAGCCCCATTCCTCATGGCTACAGGAGACTCCGGGACTAAGGGCGGGGCCCTCACAATCTTAACACAAAGTAAGACCGAGAATACCAGGCCCAGGAAACACTGTGACCAATCTAGATGTGCTAACATACATGAGTTTATGGTAAACAGGCTGTCACAGGAAAACTCTAAGGTGGATAACATAACATGACATCTAGAAGAACTAAGGACAAAAGGAGGCTGGTGGGAAAATGCAAGGTGAATTAATAGAGGAAAATCGAGTGGCTATGCCAGAGACCATGTGATAGCAATATACCTTCCTCTCCAGCGACCGGCTGTGACAGCTCAGGGACTGGTTGTGACAGAACCATTTTGGAAGGGTGTGGAAAAAGCTACCAAAGAAAGGTGTTACCAATAATCAGCAATATTCTTTAATATGCAAACTTCTCAATCTTTTAGTCTCTATTTTTGATCCAAGAGTTCTTTCTTTCATAAGTTTAATTTATTAAAAGAATTTTCTACAAAAAGAAAAAGCTCTGAGTGTTCTGCAGTCTGTACATTCACCCTTTTCCTCGGTTCTTTATACAAAGGCCATGATGTTTAGCGGCTTTTGCTCTTCATTTTCTGTCTTGTTCTTTTTCCCGGTCGCTTCTGCACAGGTAAAACAAAAAAACCGTATGTAGTCACACAGCACCTGGCCTTCCGTGCCAGGGTGAGAAGGGGCCCAGAGAAGCAGATTTAGGGTTGAAAACACACTGGACAGGCCCCAACCTAGGTCTTTCACTTACATTTGCTCCTTTCTTCCCAGGCTTCCTGGGGCCCTTGCCGTGAGCCACCTTGGCTCGGAAGCTGGAGACGTCATCATAGCTCTCACGAGTGTTCCATTTGGAGCCTTTTTTCTTTCCACCAAAACCAAACTTCTGGTTTTTGTACCGTCGTTTGGCATTGGGCCTAGAAAAGATGGTCCCATGGATTACCACACTGTAAACTTGATGAGCCTTATGGCCTGGTGACAGGCACAGGCTTGTTTCTGCCAAGTTCTCTCTCAGGCACTGCTGTTGCAGGTCTCTTCTTGGCCTTACACTGTCACTCTACAAACCAATCATCTATTAATGAAGTAACTCCAGAGAAGGAAAACTAACAGAGAAAACCCAGAAAAGGATTAATAAACACCATTCAGCTCCCTGCTTCCACAGGCATCCATTTTACCTGTTAGTTCAGCCTTAGTTGTGTCTACTTCTCTTAAGGACAAAACAGTTAACATTCAAATGTAACTTTAAAACTTGTCAAATTCAGCCTAGCCAAACAACACACCTCCCCTCCTGGGCTTGTTACAGCTCCTGTAGAGATGACAACTTGGGATTAGTTCCTCCTACCATCTGCCCAGTACCCTGGATGTCTGTCTTAATCAGCCCTCAGCCCACTTTTCCTCCCTGCGCTTGGCACATTTGAAGTATTACCCTTGCTCAGAACTATCACTTAATCAAGTCTCCACATCCCTGACTGCCATTTGTTTACACACACCTGCTACCTTCTCAAAATGGGAACATGACCGGCTCATAACTGAGTCAAGCCAGTGTCTGTCCCCTAATGTCAACAGGATGAAGGCTCCCTAACTCCTGGCCTCACAGTGTTTCTAGTGAGGGCACACACAGGCTGCTCTTCACATGCATCCTACTGGCTCAGTCTCTGGGCCTCTTCCTTCCTGAAACACTTCTCTCCTCACTTTCCTGCTCAGATGTTCATGGCCTCACATTAGGCTCAGTGGGCTGGTCCCTCGCCAGGAGGCTAACCCCAGACTGTGCACGGCCTTTAAAGTGTGCTTCTACACTAATTCTCTGACATACATACATGGAAATCATCACCCCTGGGCCTACATCCACCTATGCAGAAAGTGAAAAGAGGAATAGTGAACCCTTAGCTCCCTTTCAATCTTCATAGCACTAAGGCATAAACCACTGCCTCCCTCCTAATGAGTAGCTGGACCTGAATCTGAGTCTTCAGGCCGGACTCCCCACCATCATTGAGGGTCTTGGAGAAAAACAATCATTTGACGTTCATTTCAATGATTCAGATACCGACATCCCCCTTCAACATTGACGTGGCCACAGACCCATGCCATGTTATCAAAATCTCTGCCCCTTGAGCAAGGGTACTCTACACTGGAGGCCTTCCCTGGGGAGCTCCCTTGATGGACTGACTGTTAGCCATCACAAGACAAACCAAACTGAAACCCTTACCCTTTACTCATCTGCTGGCCCTTAGCTCTTGCCTTTGCACTGCGTTCGGCAGGCTTCTGATCCCCCTCAAGGAAATCCAGCTTATCAGAGAAGCCTGTGAAGGAAGA